AATGGAGGAGAAGGGATTACGGCGTGGCCATCCCCCTGGGGGGTGATTTCTCGCTTTCTGTCTCTCAGTTTCTCTCTGTCTTTCTGGCGAGCACATGCACCCTATAGCAAAAACCTCTCCCCCTCCAAAAAAAAAAGAATTATAGGGTGCCAGGACTGCCATTTGCAGGGCCTGGAAGCTCACCAGCACAGCACACTCCCCTGTAAGCATCCACACCACAGAGTCAAACCCCAGCCCTGACAACCAAGTAATCGTGGGCAGGTGGCCTGGCTGGCCCGGAGCTCGGTTTCTGACGGTATAATAGGGATAAACACTGGAACAGCCTCAGGCTGTGTTAATAATTAAATGAGGTGACACACGCAGCGCGTCCCCACATAGCAAGCACTGGGTACAGACTGTAAGATCCCTTTTCTTGCAGTGTGCACAACACTCCCAAGCCCTGGGTCCAGAGGGACCACTCGCCAAACGGGCAGGTGGGCCTCCCCCAGCAGGGCCTACCTTTTGCCATCTCCTTCCACGTGGGGATCTTCTTCAGCCTGACGAAGTCCTGGCAGAAGTAATGTTCCTCCCGCTGCTTGTCACTTAGACCCTTCAGAAAGGCTGCAGGGGTGGGATGGGGCGAGCAGGAAGAAAAATCAGGGTGGGCAGGGAGGGGGTAGTCCAGGGCCTCCCCCTCCTCATGACGCAAATACACCCTACACCTCGGTCCTTTCCATGGGCATATGGGGAAGGCATGCTGGTGTGTGTGGGGGGGTGCCCTCCCCAGCATGAAAGGAGAGGCCCCTGAAACCTCCTGAGGGGAAACTGAGGCCCAGGGCAGCCGCGGGACCTACCCTGGCAACGCACCCTCAGCTCGGCTCTGCACTTGGCAGCTATGCTCACTCATCTGGGCCCCTAGATTCTTCACGTAGAGAATGAGGGTCAAGACACCCCTTAGGGAATAATCCGGAGCTTTCTCACACACCGCAGCTTGGCGGGCGCTCCATGACAACACCGACCCATTACCGCTTCAGTCGCTCACGTCGTCATTGTCATTGTGGAAGGCAGGACAACTGCTCTCCTCACAAAGCAGCAGAACCAAGCAGGTCGGGTGTCTGTCAGCTCTGGGTGAGGGCTCCCCTTGGCTGGACACCAGGTTGGGGTCCCACAGCTAGAAGTGTCCCCGATTTTATCAACTAGGAAACGGCAGCCCAGAAAGGTTAGGAGGCAGCTGGTGAGCTCGTCCGCTCAGCTCATGGACTCCGGGTCCTCCCAGGCGGGCTCTGGCCCTGTCCTTGGGGCAGCGCCGGGCAGGGAAACCCTATGCTTCCCTCAGAGACTGGCAGCGCGGTCATGGCTCGCAGCTCACGGGCTCCCCCTACCGTCCCAGATACAGGCTCTCCAGACAGAGCAGCCCCCCTCCAGCCCCGGCCCCCTGCCCACCTCTGGTCCAGCACACAGCAAAAGCACCACCAGGAAACTCAAAAGGCATGGGAGTGGCCCAGCTGCAGTGCAGAGACGACACTGCTTGGGAGGCTGGAGGCCTGGCAGGCCCAGGTTCGGCTCCCGGGTTGACCTGTACACACCAGGTGAGGCTGCACACACCTGCACTAGTGGCTAATAGAGAACCTGGGGCAGGAGGATCTCGACACAGAGACTGTCAAAAAATGCCTGTCTCTGTCTCCCTCCCTTTGCCTCTTCTGTCTCTCTGTCTCTCACACAGCATCAGGAAATACGTAGAGGTGGGAGAGCAATTAGAGGGTTGGTGAAATGGCTTGAGGGCAGGAATTCAGAAGAGACTGGCAGGTGTCCCCTCACCCCCAGAATGTGCCTTTATCAGCCAAAGTCACTTGGTCTCTCCAAGCCTCTGACTCCTCGCCTGCCCACAGGTGGCAGTGGGGATAGGGATAACACCCTGGGGGTGCTGGAGCACATGGAAAGGTCCCAGCTCAGTCCTGTGGCAGGAAAGCCAGAGGGCTGGCCACGCCCCAGCCTGAGCCAGGACCACACTTCCTGGCAGCTACTGCCCACCCCTTCCACAAACGTTTACTGGGCCGCTGGGGATACAGCAAACAAGGCAGACAGGGTCCTGGCCTTCCTGAATCTACAATCCAGCCCGAAGACGGAGGCTGATCCAGGCATTACACCATCAAGCAAGCAACTCAAAATCAGGGGCCGGAGAAGGAGGTATCGGGAACCTGGTCTGGGGGTGGAGTGGAGGTGGGGTAGGATCTCAGGAGGCTGAAGTGAGACTAGGAGGGGAGTGGGAGGTAGCTAGGGCTGAAAGGGGTGCTAGCCAGCAGGACAGCGTGAGTCCTGAGAAAATTCATTTCAGTGTATGTGTGGGGAAGACAACTTAGGAGCCTTAAAGGCCTGTAAAGAAAGGACTTCAGGGCCAGCCGGTGGCATGGTGGATGAGGTGGCTGGATCCCACATGACCAACTGCAAGATTTGAGACCCAGATCCAGTGGCTCACGGGGCACGCGTGCATGCATCCATGCCCAAAATCCCCAAAGGAGGGAGAAATGAAGAAGGAGGCGTGGTGTGACCATTCTCCATAAGGGGTGCTTTCTCACTTTCCCTCTCTCCTTCTCTGTCTGGAGCACACGCGCTCTCTGGCAAAATTTCTTTTTAAAAAAGAATGCCTTTATCCCAGGGGCGATCCCGGGGCACCATAATCAGACTAGATAATAAGCCTTTCCCAGTTGTAGATGGGGGCCATTCCCAAGTGTGCCGCTTTCATCCTAAGGAGCTGAGGGTCCCTCTATCATGCCTCTCCATACTGGGCCCTTCACCCTAGGGCCCTGGAGGCTCACAGCCCATTTGAGGGGCGGCCCTCCTCTCAGGGCACAAACCCCAAGGACCTGAGAAGCTGCCCAGAGGCTCCCATTTAAATGCTCCTTTCCTTGATCTGGGGGTGCTGGTATCTGGGAGCTGAAGTGTCTCTCCAGGCCTAAGTTTCCCTCTTCTGTAAAATGGAGGTATGGAGAGCGGCCTCCTGGCCCACGGTGGTTAAGAGAACTGGACCCACATGGCCCACCATGGTTCAAGTCCTGGACCTGGTGGCTTGGGAAAAGCACCAGGCACGTGTGTACATACCCCAAGTCCCAACGAGATGGGGAAACGGAAGAGACTGTGGCATGACCGTGCCCCGTGGGCTCGCTCTCTCTGGTTCAGTGCTGGCTGATGGGACCACCCAGAGGACAAAGAAAACCTGTGGAGCAGAAGGCGGGGCTGCTCCTGGCTCTGCCTCTCACTGGCAGCTTGAATGTGGCTCAGTTAATAAGTATTTACAGAACTTCTATCCTTCAGCAAGTCTGGAGGTGAAAAGCAAGGTGAGATCCAAGAGAGCTTCCAAGAGGAAGTGACCCCAACTTGTCTGGTCTGTCCCCAGAGGTACGAATCGCTGGAGAAGATCCCATCACCGAGCAGAAGCTTCCCTCTAAACCCTCCATCTCCCCCTGGCTGCCTAGACGCTCCAGTTGCTGCTTTGGGAGTGGGCTCCCCCTTCTCCCCTCTCCCAGCCTCCCAACTCCTTCTCCAGCCAGAGAAACCGCAGCCAGGATGCTGCCTCCTCCCCCACCATGCTGGAACCTCCACCACCTGCCGGCACCTCCTCGTCCTCCCTCCAAGTCACTGGGCATGAAGGTCCTTCCTCCCAGCGAGGCCACCTGCCAAGCTCACCTCCCAGAGGACTCGCTCTTGCAGCCTCCCCACCCCTGCCCAGGCCGTCCTGCCTGCCCTAAACAACCTCTCCTGTGCCCCCACCTACCTGCCTTTTAAAACAAAATGCCTCTGTCCGCCTCCACCCAATCAAGGTCAAGGTCACCGTACCCACAGGGCTGATGCAAAGGCTTTTCCTGTCTTCTCTGTAGACATCTCCTTGAGGCCTCACCTCTCTGTTCAAGCCGACACCCTCCCTAGGTATTCCCATTGATTCCATAGATTCAAACCGGTCTTGCTGCTGCTAACCCCAGGGCTGCCCCTCCAGCAGCTCCTCGCTCTCTGAGCCTCTGATGCCCACAGCCCCTGCTCTCTTCCCCCCTCAAACTCATGTACAAAACTTTGACTCTTTAGACCCCAACATTTGGGGGGGCAGGGTGATGGTTTTAATTTTAATTTTTTTGTTTTCTATAGGGTGCATGCATTTGCCAGAGAAAGTAAGAAATCACCCCCCGCCCGGGGATGGCCACGCGGCAATCCTTCCTCTCTATTCTCCTCTTGGGATTTTGGGCACGCGCCAACACCCTATGTGTTTTCAAGTTGCCAAGCCCGGGACTTGAACCACACAGCTGGACATGTAGGATCCAGCTGCCTTAACCTCCACACCACCTGCTGGTTCCAAGATGGGACTTTTTCATCCTTTCATTCTCTCTTCTTTGCTCAGGCCCCAAACAGGAATCCTTCCTTTTCATTCCTCTTACTCCCCATGCCCCATCCAGCTGTGTCCAGCTGTTCAATTTATCCCCTTCGTACTCCAGAAGCCAAGCCTCCCTCTCACCCCATGGGGCCTTCCAGAAGCTCGGAGCTTCAGCCTCCCCTGTCTGTTCCTGGCCAGCAGCTCCAGGCCCCTAGGGATGTAAATTGGACAGGCACTTCTGTTCCAAAGCAATTCAGATTCCAAGTCCTTACCACCCCCACCAATCCTGCCCAGGGCCCTGCCCCAACCCCCTTGCTAACCTCTCCACACACACCATCTGCCTGGTCGCTCACCTTCCAGTACTCAACCAACCAGGCCGTGTTCTGCCTCAGGGTCTTTGTACCTGCAATACCTCTACACGGGAAGCTACTCTTTCTTTAAAGTCCTCTCCTCGTGACCCTCTCCCCACCCTGAGGAGCCCTCCCCGACCTGCCGAGCGATGGATCAGTGGGCCTCGGTTTACGTCTACTCCTTACTCGATCTTGACCGTAAGGTCTACATGGGAAGTTCATGTATACTGCTAGACTCCTGCCAGCTGACACAGGGCATGGCATGTGTGACCGTCCACCTGGGGGTGCACTGATGAGTAAGTGGGCTGAGAGCTGAGGGCTGAGGGTGCAAACTGCTAGCAGAACAGTTTTCTCAGCAGAGGGAACAGCATGGGCCAAAGCCCCGAGATAAGAGGAGAGAGTACTTCCCTCCATTTCTCTTACCCAAGGTAAGTGGAGAAATGAGGGTGTAATGGTTACACTGCCGGACTCCCACGCAGTCGACTGCAGTTAGAGGCCCAGGCCCAGCATTTTTTTTTTAAAGAATTATTTATTTATTCATTCATTTATTTTAATTTTATCAGAGAGAGAGAGAGACAGAGATAGAGAGAGAGAGAAAGTGCAGAAGCAAGCCACCAGTTCTGGGACTTGAACCATGGTCGGCCATGTGGGAGTATCCCATGCCTTAGCCACCATATCACCTGCTGGTTCCCGACCCAGCATCTTAAAACTCACACCAGGCACGTGTGCGTGTGTGCCAGAATCCTGAGAGGAGAATGGGAAAAAAGGGATTACGACATGGCCATCCCCCAGGGCATAATTTCTCACCTTCTATCTCTCTATCTCTGTCTGTCTGGCGAGTGCACACGGCCTATAGCAAAAATCTCTCTAAAGATAAATGAATAAATAAAAATTTAAAAATTAAAAAAAGA